TGTTGTTTTAATTTTGTTGTACCCTGCCCAGAGTCACCTACTTGGGAGATGGGAAGCTATACAAATTAGACAAACACTTAAGGGACTACCTGCCTCCCACAGCATCTGCCTGGCTGATTCTACTCTACAGGGCTGGTGGCCTCCAGGTTCCTTTGATTGAACAACGTCATTTATCAGGATCCTGGAAGTGGGCTTTCTCTGTAGCAATGCCTGCCCTCTGGAAAGAGCTTCTCCTTGAGGTCTGACAGACTCCAGTCCACTGTTGCTTAGAAGAGCCATGAAGATCTATCTCTTCACCCAGGCCTTTGGTGAGGGAAAATGAGACCACTGCTTCATTACATTTGCCATCTTCTATATCTTTAATGTTCTACTGATTTGATATTTTTCTTGTTTCCTTCTTGTGAGCTGCCCGGAGTCATTGATAGATGGGCGGCATCCAAGTTTAATACTTTATTATCGTTAAAATAAATACACAAAGGAAAAATGGCTCGGTTAAGAGAAAAGGGAAGATGGAAAAAATTGTGGTTATATAGAGTTGTAGAGTTCCTGAAAAAGAGAGAGATGAGAAGTTTAAAGAACAAAATGCAATGCATGAAGCGGTTGTTTCCTTAAACCTTTTTTTTTTTTTTTTGCATACCACATTAAGTGGCTAGCTCTGAAAGGGACTAGAACATTAGATACGTATGTCTACATAATGTTCCCCTTTCCATTCACTAAGGGAGTCACTACTGCTGGGTTCTTGCTGCTACTGAGAGTGGGAATGCTGCCATAATGAATTCTTTTGCTGGAGCTAAAGGGGAAGCTAGCATGGGACCAATGGCAATCTGTGCAGGTGAATACCAAGGGCTGTACAATATCCATTCTATTCTTTTTAATACAGACAAATGTTTTGACAATACCAGGACAATTTGTCTAGTACAAGGCTTGGATCTGCAACCAGTTGTACATTCTCAGCTTATGTGTTTTGGCACTTTGCATGGACTGAAAGCACATCTGTGTCTGCTCTGAACTGGGTAACTATTAGGGTCAGTATATCTGGGCTGCAAATATTTGAACAATCACCAGGATAACAGTGAAGAATTAGAATGTCCGATATCCTTTCAATACCATCTAATGGCCATCTGGATTTTTGCTGAATATTTTAAGCTTAAATCACATTTTGTGGAAACATTTTGCTTAAAAGTTGCTCATCTTGGTACTAAGGGCCCTGGTGGTTAGAATACAATACTGCGGGATATTTCTGCTGACTGCCAGCAGTTCAGCAGTTCAATTCTCATCAGCTCATGGTCGACTCAGTCTTCCATCCTTTTGAGGTCGGTAAAATGAGGACCCAGATTGTTCCAGGCAATATGCAGACTCTGTAAATCACTTAGAGAGGACTGTGAAGTGGTATATAAGGCTTATTACTATTGCTAAACAGACAAAAAACCCCAAGCAATCCTGCGTTGCTGAAAAAATAAATTAAAAAAATCACAATGTCATGCTCAAGATCCATGATCATAAGACAGAGCCATTCATTGTAGTTACAAGTTACAGTATATGGCTTAGTGTGCGCCAGCAATAATTCTTTATTTAACAAATCATAATCACGGTGTAGCATACTATGGGCACAAAGCCGTAGAGTCCGGATTTGTGGAAACCCCTGTTATGCAACAGGTTAACCTTGATCTTTAAAGCTTATCTAGAAATACTTGTTCTTATAGTTTCTATGATTGATGAACTTGAGTCGCTGATTTATTTTTCCATGAATCAAAACATAACTAAGATGTGTTGGTTATTCTGAATTAATGGCATGGTCTAGAGATGTATCTTTGCCCCTTTGCAGGTCTTCTGTGAACATAGTGTCGGTGTCAAGTGGAAGTTTAATCAACAATATTTCCTCCAGCATTCAAGACAACAAGAAAAGTTTCACCTGCCGATTTCCTGGCTGTCAAAAGGCAGGAGTCCAGCTGCCAGGGAAAAGAAAAAACGAACAATGCTAGCCTTCACTGTGTTCTTAGATAAAACATTATAAAATCTCCTTTTTTTTTCTCCCCCTTTTATTAATCATTCCAGTGGCCAGCTAATACTTTCTGGGTTTTGCCTGACTCAAATGTACAACAATTAATTCTCAGTTGACAAAGTTTATATTTTTATTAAATCAATGATAAGTTACAAAGGAGGAAAAATATAGAATTATATGTACAGCATTTCCAAAGATAAGCCAAAGAGGATTATGGGGTAGGAGGGAAATTCCTCAGAGCCGCAAGAAAAGATGAGAGCTTTTTGCCGGGAAGTGATAGAGGGAAATTAAAGAGATCTGTACCAGCCAGGGTATAATGCCAAACGGACAACTGGTTGTATTGATTTATAAGAATATCCGCCCCCCCCTTTGCTTTTTGCTCCAATCCTCCCCTTTCTTGTGAAATCAAAATATTGGAATTCATATTGATTTACACCATCTGAGAATTTTATATCTGTAAACCTACAGCATTTCTTCATTGATGGCAATCCTTTAACCACCATACAGCCAATGACTTCACAGGCATGGTGGCCTTTCTATACCATCCAAAATGTATATTTGCAAAGCTGGGGGCATGAAATAATCTCGTCAACAAACAGATGCCACTGCCTTTCAACGCTCCGCATCTGCAGATATCCTTAAGCCCAATTATCCTGGTTTTTTTTTTTTTTTGAGTCAGCCTGGTTAATTTTTTTCCCCCAGACACCTTTGGCATCGTACCCAATTGTGTGAGCTCAACATAATCAGGGCTGTGTGAAACCTGTGATTCCTGGAGGAATCCAGCAAAAACAAAAAAAAAACCCCACAGGATGTGCTGCTTGGGAACTAGCATTTATTTGGAAAGGGGCAGGTTGATTTTCTTGCTTCTCCCATGAATTGTAAAACATGGGTACAATGCAAACAAACAAACATTCCTCTCCCAAAATTACCATGCACAAAGGACATATGTATGCGTAGTTGCATATGCTATACAGGTCAGATAACGAACTTTTTATGGCACAGGATGTGGTTGCGTGCATGCAGAATTTTAAATATTTTTTTTTGTTTTGTTTTACTTGAATGCAGACACTACACACAGCCCTGGGCTTTGCTAATGAGTCAGTTGGTTCCACAGGAGAGGCAGAGCAAAAGGCAAGTTCAGTTTCTTTTCTAGCCTGATTCACTGAACAAGCACATTCCATCCAACACCTTATAAAGATAACAGTTTGCTATTCACCTTGTAGCATTTGAATAAAGAAATACAACATGCCAACTTGAGTCAGCAGTCTGAGTCACTTTGGAGAAGCTATACTGTTTATAACCAGTTAGGAACTTGGTTGTAAAATCCTTGGCTTGGCAGTATATTTTCTGTACATTGCAAACCTCCAACTCTTTACTCAGGAGCAAGCTACGCTGAATTCCTGCTAGACAGGACCTCAGTTTATTGAGATAATTACCAAATGTAGCTACGTGGTTGGCTATCTCTGGGACGACACTTTATCTTAGACAGAAGGGTCAGGATAAATTATAATTCCTGTCTCTTCACTCACATGAATTTATCTGCATTGACAAGTGCCCTCCCAATAACAATAGATCAGAGGGAATGGGGATAGTGGGGACTCCTTTTGGAGCATGTACTCATTCCTTAAGGCTGCAATGAAAAGCTCCCAGATGTAATCCTTGTCATCTCCAGGTAAAGCTGGGAAATTCTCTGTCAGATACCTTGGAGAGTCACTATCAGCTAGCAACATAGGAGACAACATAGAACCAGAGATGGCTGGACTTGTTATTAAATGGCAGTTTCCTATGCTTAAGAGTAAACAGGGTTTTTTTTTATGACTGAGTAGAGCTGAACTATAAGGAGTTGAACAGTATTAGTAAGTACTCATTGGAGACAACATCCCATGAGGATAAGATAAATTCAAAGATGCGTTCAGTGGCATGATAGCTATTCTATGATCCGCTAAGAAGAGATTTCCTGAGGTATCTGCCATAAAAAAGTCCATGCAGTAGGTGTCTTCCATTGAGACTAAATAGAATTGGCAGCCAGTGCTGCAGATTCAACTTTAGTAATACACTACACTATCTGATTAGCCTTTGCCCAGGTTTTTAGCAGGGAAGCCAAATATGCCAAGGGTTGCTATGCAACTCCCTGTCAACAAGAGAGGGCCTCTGGTAAAAGTTACTCCTTTCAGTCTCTTTTTATTCTAGCCAGCTTTTAGGGGGAAGCAAAAATTCAGAACCCTGTGTGTTTGTCAGAAACAGCCATGATTTTTTTTAAAAATTGAGATTCTTATATAGTTAGAATGAGATACATAAGCAGCTTCATATCGAGAGAGAAATACTTAGAACAGAGAACCAAAAAGTTTGCTTCTTGGTATGTTGCGTCACATATAAATCCTATATGCCTTTTTCTTCTTTATCAGTCAGATTTTTTTCCATTTCCCCCCACTGAAAACAATCATCCATGAGATATAGCAGTGGCACAGCATATGCTCTATCATTACCATTGGTCAAATAAGCTTCATCTACTCCCACAATTGAGTTAAGAACTTTCCCAAGACCTCCAGTGCCTTCAATTTGAAATAGAGAATTTGTGTATGATTCAATTTTTCTCTAAGAAAACTGGTAGATTTCCTAACAATACAACAGGAAATCAGATGGTGAGAGAAGCCGTTTCCTGAAGGAGATCAGATACGTTTAATGGAAGGTAAGAAATCATAACACTTTGCGTGTGTAATTGTCCAACGGAGGAGAAAGTTTAAGTTTAGATGGTCTTAATCACTACAGACTTCTCAGCTAGGATCAAATAGGAACTATGGAGAAGAACCAGTTCTCTCTCTTGACTCTTAGTCAGCACTGCTCTCAACAGCTGCCGTGGTTTTATTCTCTCTCATCTCCTTACTTTCCAATACAATTGATTTGCCTCTCACATCACATTTAGTCTTCCCCCATGTAACCTCATTTTGGAGTGGCCTGATGTTGATGCCATCTCGTGAAGCATGGGAGGGCCCCCCCAAATTTTCCCCTCCCTGCCCCACAGCCCCACCTTCCTGCTTCAGTATGGGGAGAACTTCTGTCTCTCACCCTTCTTGCTTGAATTGGCTGTGGAGATCTTGGTCGTGTAGGTGGCAAGGTTGCCATTGTGCCCCGTGGCTGAGGAAGGGGGCAGTGTCAAGAAGGGAATGGGTTTCAAGCCGATGAAGTTGGAGAGGGAGATGGCATAGGGGGGACCAAGCAAGGTTGGGGGAGGTGCGGCCACTGCTGTCAGCGCTGGGGCTGGCGAAGGGGTGAGGGGCTGGGAGAAAGTCATGCCGAGGTCAACGGGGGGCGTCTGGGAGGTAGATTTGGCCGTCTCTAAACTGAAGAACAAGAAGGGAGAAAGAATGAGACCTGTGCATGCATGCCCATTTACATATAAAAATGCAGACATCTGTGGACATATACTTGGAAGTATATGTACCAATGTGTGCTGGAACAAGCTTGCACACAGCATAATATGCATAGGTATGGGTTAATATGTATAGTTTGCTTAATACATATATAACAGTATGGTTATGGATATGGATATGCATTCACAGAAAAGACATGTTTTTACTGGCATGCATAATGACATGTGCAACAGAATAGGTACACACACAGAAATAGTGAACAAGGTGCTCTGAAGCATTTCAGCATCTGGGTAAGATCTTTTTCTCCAGAATCCCCCTAGGACTATGATCATACATTTACAGTAAGGAATTTTGACTGTGATAAAAGGAGCTTATTTCCTCAATCAGTGTTCAGAGCCGGTTATGTTGAGGGAAGTTATCTTATACTTTTAGTAGCTCCTGTTTATATAATCAAAGCATTCCAAGGTAGTTCAGGCACTTATGTGTCTTGGACCCATGACTAATGGCTTGAATCAATATCTGAATTTCACACCCTGAAACCAATTTACCTGTCGAAGCTGAAGGCGGTGAGCGGCAGCGGTGATAAAATTTAGCTTACTTCGATTTTGAATATGTAAAGATATTAATATATAAAATAAGTGCCAGAATGATTTCCATGAGAAAACTGACTGTATAAACAGGAAAGCGCGTTCTTCAAGACGCAGGCCATGTCCTATCAGCCTGTACCCTAGTGGCCATAATGCACAAAAAGAGAGCAACAGTTATTTTCCTGCTCCAAATCTTAAAGCATCTCAAGTGCCAGATTGTGATACACCATCGCAAATATCCTTTCACGTATTCCATTCGAGTGTTGTTATTTTGTGGATAAAAGGAGTTATTCCACCCTGAAAACAAGAGTCCTTTCTGAGCAGAACTGAAGGCTGCATCGGTACTTGCAGCTGCAAGGGGAATTTGAGGGGAAAGCAGAGGCAGCTACCCAAAATACTGTAGCTAATGATAATAGTCTTAGGCTGGCTCATGAGAAATTCAAAGATTGGAGGCTGTCACCTAGGCTGGAGAGACAATGTGCAAAACTGTTGACACTTGTGGGAGTGCAGCAGGATGTTACCTTTTAACATTCCTGTTTATTAAATAAAAGGCAGAATGGTTGCAGAAACTAACAACTCACCCACCATAGCAAACAGTGCTTTTTGGTTCCTACAAAGCTATCCATCTAAAAGTCCCAGGGCTTAAGACACAGGAGGAGGAAGCCACAGCAATACCTGCATATATCTGTGACAAATGAGGTCTCCTCCCTGCCTCATCCCCCCCAGAGGCTGTATTGGCTCTTACCAGGCTGTGATGAGGTATTGAGCCAAAGTGATGCTGACTGGTGTGCCTGTGATGGTCACATGACGTTCGGAAGAACCCTCTGTCTGGTTCCCGATCTTGATGTGCGCTCCAGACATTTGCCGAATCTCACTAATCTTGCTCCCCTGCCGGCCAATGATGCAGCCAATGAGCTAAGGGGGACAAAGAAGAGGAATCATCTATAGGAGGGAAGGGTGCGAGGAATTTCATCCCTCAAGAAAACAGCTGAACTAAGTTGCATAGAGAATACTGACTCATTAAGTGATCGATTTCTCGCAGTGAGAAACGGGGCTGTTGGTGCCTTATTTACAGTAATGTTTACTTTTTAGACAAGAAACCCCCAAGATACAAATAAATGCTGCAATGCCTTGTTTCAGTTATGGAATCGATAGGCCGTTCCAATCTGTCACAACCTGGCTACAGCACTATAATCAAAAAATGCCTTGCCAAAAAGAAAAGTAACATTTAGAAACAGATGTTCCACTGATCAAAATAGAATAAATGGAATAGAATAGAAGAAACCTATCATCCAATCCAGCCTGAGGCCTAAGGATAGAGTCAGATTTTATAGCTTGTTTAAATAAGGCCAGGGTGGAGCTCTATAAATCTGGAAGGAAATTGTGTCCAGAGGGCAGTTGCATGACAGAGGCCTGCTTCTGGGTCTAACTGGATGATTATTTAATCAAGTATTTATCAATTATCTACAGGGATCCAGAATATGGCGGACTACTGGAGATAGATGATTCCTCAAATAACCAGGTGCTAGGCCGTGAAGCATACATGTTAACCAGCACCCAAACTGCATGTGGAACTATCACTGTAGCTTGTGGGAAGGTTATTTTGGGGGCATACCATGGTACTCCAAACTGCTCACACTGTTGCATTCTGGACAAGCCACAGCCTCAAGAGCAGCTTCATGTACAATGAATTACTGGAGTCTATAAGATGATCAAAACATGAGTGAATGTCTTAAGGCCTCCCAGTCTAAGTATGGCCACAAGTGGAACACTATATAAATTATGCTGAAGTTTTCTAGCTACAAGTTATGAGTCCAAGAAGACCCAAATTTTAGCACCAATCCTCGAGAGGGGAGTACAATCCTATTTGGGATTAATGATGAAACCACTCCAGACTCAAGAGGTGCAAATATTTACACTACTCAGTCTTGTCAGAGATGACCCTAAGCACATCCTTTCCAAGCCAGGATCATACAACCTCCACATACTAGAATTAGACATGGACAATATCATTTGGCTACCCCCTAAACCAAGGTAATTTGACCCCAAAATGACAGATCACCTTACTAAGTGGCCTCATGAAGATGCTAACCAGGAAAGATGGGAACACCAAACCTTAAGAATCCCACTTAAAGAGAGGATTCTGGCTCAATTTATCCCTCTTTGTCAACACTGACTCAACCCAACCACAGAGAAAGGAAAACCACCACAGGAACACTTTCTCTCCACCTCCTATTCCCTTCAGGCAATCCAAAAAGATACCATGATTTATGGTATCAAAACCTGCCAAGAGATTAAGTAGAACCAGAATGATTACAGCTCCTTTTGTTCTGACTCCATCAAAGTTATCAACAAATTCTAATACCATCTTGATATTATACCCTGGTTTGAAACCAGACTGAAAAAAATCCAGATAATCTGAATCTTTCAGGGGCCACTGACGCTGTAATCTAGAGACATTCCAAAACATTCAAGGGAAGGTTGGAACCTGAATGAAAATTGCCTAGGACAGTTGGGTCCAGTGAAGGCTTTTTGAAGAGACGACACTATATTCAAGTCAGGAAGTGCCACCATTCCCTCAAAGAAACACACCACACTGACCAATGGCACACCACTGGATGGCCATCACCAGCCAGGAGGCACATGGATCTAATGTAGAAGTGGCCAGGTTCATCAGCCCAGAGGTCACTGTCCTTTTCTAGAAGCCACGGATTCAAACTCAAATGTTATTAAAGGACAGCATCAATCCTGTTTGTAGCTGAGTGGGTCCCCAGGATTGTGCTGTTTAAGCTATTCAGCGACAAAGATTTGTTGGACTGGACCACCTACTATTAGACAAGCGAGAGACTGAATGGGAAAGGAAAAAATAACTAAGTCATGTAGTTCAGGTTTCTACCAGACTGTGGCAGGAACTGACCTACAATAATAAAGCAGTGCAGCTTGTTTTGTAAGACCCTTTTCTCTGAGCAAAATATTCCGTCATTCTTTTTCTTGTGCATGTAAAATTGGGGCGCTATGTAAAGGTCAATGTTGCTGACTACCCACATGCTTCCTGCCTTCAAAAATGACTGAATAAAGTCTTCAGTTTCCCCAACAGTATTCTGCTGGTATCTGCAGAGCAGGCTTGCAGCTGGGTTGGCTGTGTGGGTGAGCAACTGGCACATTCTCCTTTTAGCTTGATATTCTGGCTTTTGCTCCCAGGGGGGAGTGAGTGTGAGGCTTCTGAAATTATGGGAAAGTGGGTTTAAAATACATCTTTTCCACCCCTCTCTCTTAGGACTTTTCTGTGTGATTACTGTGCTTTGTCCACTACTGCTAGTCCTATGAGGTAGGCCAGGACAGGAAACGGGCCCCACAAGGATTCTAGGAGTGCTATGGTACTGTGGTAAGGTATAATAACAGAATCATGAAAGCCTACAAGACTTTATCTCTTTCCCCTCTTACATGAAACAGAATCAAGACAGGACTATTTTGAGATTCTTTCTCACTTTCTCAGGACTGAGTTGTTGTTTCATTTCCCTTAGCAGACTCCCTTCCAAAGTCATCTCTACATTCCTTTACAACCGCAATGACAACTGAACCTTGTAAAAAAAGGAAAAAGCCAAATGCTGATCCAAACTCAAGTAACTATTGACGCAAAACAATCTTTATTCCCTTTAATGTCTGAAGACTCAATTATTTCCAGATAATCCCTTCATGGTACAACTATTAAGTTACACGTTGCCATGTCAGGCTGCCATGAAAGACGAGGCAGCACAATTAGCATTAAAACTCAAATTGTGGTATGGCCACCTCAGTATAGACTGCATTATTCTTTAAAACATTTGTCTTAGATAAGGTGATGAAGCTTGGACTTTTAAGCATTACTAAGCTTAGGAATTGGCTTTCCACCTGCTTCTTTGTCTTAGCAGTGTTATAAATAACAGTATTCTTTGTGCTTAGACCTGAGATAGAGGTAACACAGGTCACTCAAGTTAATTATCTCTGTCAGATTCCAGATGGTGGAATGCCCTACTTTTAGTCTCCTCCTCCTCCTCCTCCTCCTCAAGGCCTTTGAGTTCAAGGTGTCCTTCCAGACTGTTTGTGAGGGTTGAGCGCACCATTTCACAGTGGTTCCATTTGGCAGATATAGTGAAGAGTTAACCCAGCATGCCATAGAGTTTGTTTTCCTTCCCGCCCCACCCCGCCCCCTTTGGATATCTACATGAACGTCTTCTTTGTATTACTACTCTGGGCTATGCTACAGATGTTTTGTCCTCAGACAGAGTCTGGATGGGATAGACTAGGCTAGACCTGAACCCAAGCAAGATAGAGCTGCTGTTTGTGCATCAGACTATCTGTGTTTTCTCTTTGACGGGAAATATTACTCCTGAATGAGTGGGGCTACAACCTGAGATCCTTCAGGATTCTCATCATATGGTGGGTGAGCTGGTTGACGCTGTAACTGGGGGATTTTTTGATGGACGTGCTATTTGTAACTCTGTCTGAAATAGGATTTTGCCACAAGAAACTAATACTGTTGACACTGTTCATCAAGATGTCTGTTATGCACCCTACATGACTTTGTCCTTGAATTTACTCCCTTACCACCCAGAAGCTGGCACTGGTAAAAAAAACCCGCAGTACTGTAGTCCAGTGGTTCTCAACCTTTTCTTCACCACAGACCTCCTTTAATTACCTTTTGTAACCATGGACCATGGCATGGGCAATCAAGACTTAACTCAAGATTTAAACCATATTATTTCTTCAAGCCTTTGCAGGGCCCCTGTGACTACACAGACCACAGTCTGAGAATCACTGCTACAGTCTATTTGCCAATAAGTATTTTATGTTGAGAGCATATTACCCCTGAAACCTAGGCTGTGCATTGCCTCTCAAGGACTCCGGACAAAACTAATTTCTTAAAATAGGTACGTTAAATGTTTAAGAGGCTCGAAAACCCATTTTATCTTAAAACAAAAAAGCCACACAATGCCAATTTTTAAAAAAAGAGCTTGAATTTTCAAGTCTTCTGAAGTCTAATGAAATTACTGTATCCTGCCACACTTTTTACAAGCCCTGAAAGCTACTGGTAAAAATAATTACCATTAAAAACTACAAATTTAAAAAGTTGTCTGTGCTTGTTGTAGAAGGTTGGCATATTAATTCTATTTTTAAAAGCTGTTTGCTAACTAACTATATTCCCCAAAGACCATACTTCTGTGGCAGAACACAAGGTTCCCAAGAAGACAATTCCTAAATCATTAACTGGTTACTCCAGTTCAAAATAATTGTATAACAGATGAAGTTAAAGCCCTTCCTTTATCCAAGACTCTGCAGAGCTGCTATCCATCCGAGTAAACAATATTAGTCCAGTTGAAAAAAAAAATAGCTAGACCCGCCGTAAGGCAGTTTTCTCAATTGCAACAATAACAGAATTTGGATTTTTTGATTCTGACATCGTTGCCCAGCAAAACTTGGCCCTTTACTGGGAAAGATCTGGCTGGGGAGTAGATTTCTGCTTTTATCGGAATGGAGTCCCTCTCAACAGACCTTGGTGAACAGGAGCAGAGGAAAGGAATGAAAAAAGGGTCTGGATTTATGCCCAATGAGCTTTTATACTGATGTGAAATGGGAGGAACGGAAGTGGGTACAATTACAACAGTGCAAACAAAAGACCAAACCAACCACAGCATTAACCCAGCGGAGTAGGCAGCTCACATCAAAGTCTGACTTACATCATTGGGAACTAGAAACTCCTGAGAGCTATTCTGAGAGTTTGCATCCAGGCCTACAGAGAAAGAGAGAAAGAAGACAGAGAATTACTGGGGGCCTTTGCCTACCCCCCCCCCCTAATTACTCCTTGAATGGGTATTTCATAATCGTGTCCTCCCTAGAATAATCTTGAACTGAAACGTTAGCATCTTAAAGATCCTTTCTAGGCACCATAGTTACAAAGAGCAGGGAGGACACAAAAAGGATTGGATGGCTTCCCAGCTCTTGCAAAGCAATCAGCAGCTCAAAGAAGAGGCTTTTGTTTTATGCCATTTCACTTAGGTCACATTACACAGGACTAATTTTAGATAGTCCCGGTGGAATTCCAGCCTATCCCTGCCTCTTCCCGCTTGATGCAGAACCCATTGGCCACAGATACTCTTTTATCAACATAAGAAACAATCCTTGTCCTTACTCAGATGGTAAGAGTTTTGGTTCAATTGCGTGGATTTGTTGCATTTTTACAGGGGCTACTTGGAAAAGCCAAGTTCAATGAATGAATAAACAAAAAGAAGAAGGTTTCTTCAAGAAACCTTTCAATAAGAAACCCAAAAGAAGGTTTCTTATTGTTGTGCATCGTTTATCTGAGCTCCTTCCCTTAGAAGAGATTTCTAACAATTCAATGTTGACTTGGAGTGACCACACAGGATGATCCCTCCCTGGCCTAGACTTTCAAATCTTATAACAGTGCTTACACCCACTACTTCTTGAGTTCCTACACCTGCTTGTCTTCTGTTTCTTTTCACTTTTTTTTCCAAATTATAGACTTCTCAAGAGAGCCCCAGATATGTCTAAAATATGATTATGTGAACCTGGGCATTTGTCTCTTTAATAAAAACCATAGCTTGGTTTGTTCTATGAGCCATGATTGTCTTTTTAAGTCAGTGATTTTGTCATCCAAAATCACTGACTTAAAATATCAATACTCTTTCTCGCCTACTTCTTCAAACTACTTGAAACTTTGCCTGGACACAGATCAGCAACCTGTATAGTTATTGCGAATATTTCATTTCCATAAAGTGTCACAGGAAAAGCCACTGTGCAATGAAATCATTTGCATTTTCAGCTATTCGAGTAGTGTTGTGTCATCAGCATAGCTAAGGCTATTGATGTTTCTTCCTCCAATTCTAAAACCACATTCATCTTTTTCCAGTCTGGTTTCCCGCAATATATATTCAGGATGTAGATTAAAAATAAATAAATAAGGTAAAAGCCTTGTCTCACTTTTTTTGCCATATGGAGCTAATCTATTTTGTTATGTTTGTGTGGATGATGGCTTCCTGTCCTGGGCATAAGTTTTACATTAGGACAAAACCAAAGGATATTGTATAAGCTGTTGCTTTGTTCTTTGCTTAATGGCTTTTCTGTGATAAGAACAAAGATGCTAAAACTATTTTCAGCAATATCAGATCCAGCCAGAATGATATGTGCCTTCGTTATACTTCACTTGGATTCCTGCAATGTGCTCAGTATGTGCTCTGCCTTTGAAAACTGCTCAAAGTCATTTGCTGGTTCTGACTGCTGCCACAAAGCTGCTTTTCAAGATTTGCTATAGATAGCAAGAGATCTCATCTTTACAACAACTATACAGGTTGCTGATCTATATCCCGGCAAAGTTTCAATTGGTGCCCAAGACATACAAAGGCCTAAGCCAGGGGTGTCCAACTCACGGCATCACAGCATCATCACATGACATATCAGTACCTTTTTTCCCTTTGCTAAATCAGGTGCGGGCGTGGCCAACACAAGATGCAGCCGGCCCGCGGGCTGGGAGTTTAACAGCCCTGGGCCAAGAAATTCAAAATCACTTATTCCTTCCTCTCTGTCTCTGTCTCTGTTTGTATTTAGAGAAAGATGGGAGACATTGAGAAAGAGTGTATACTTGGGCTCTTGAGCTGATTTCTTTTGTTCCTCTCCTCTGTATTTTAATCTGAAGATTGCTATAATGATGGATATATTGAAAAAAAGGAGTTAATAAAAACAAAAATATTATTGGCTATTAAGGTGAATTTGCAAAATATTCTTCTTTAACAGGGGACTGACTTGATGGTGCTCTATAACTTATTTTTAACATCTGGTTTTAAACAATGCTAAGCTGTAATGTGGCTTTCAGCTTATCCTGTTTTAGTGAGTGCAATAATTGTTCTCTGTAAGCTACAGGTTCTGCTTCAGTTATGTATGAACCCAGTGTACTGCAATTTATTCAACACACCATGACTTATTATGAATTAGGATTCTGGTCAGTGCTGAGGAAATAGCCACCGAGTGTTCTAGAAGATGAGAACCACTTTGGAAATTGGATTAACAGCTTTCTTCCTCTCTCTCTGGCCATATTTCTTTCCTGTCCTGCTGTAGATGATGTCATCCAGATGTCTGTGTTTTGCACAATCAATTACAGGTTTTCAAGCAGACTGAGAATGACCCAAGTGATCTACAGTTGGGCTCTATAAGCATCTTAATAAGTGGGTGACTGTCCTGGAGATTATGTATAAAAATTGAGGTGCACATTGAAGAATTATCATTACTCCAACAAAGCTACCTCACCAACTGTGTACTTTTATACACACATTTCCTATTTATGTTTCTGACTCAAGTTTCCTCAATAATTATTTATTATTATTTCTTAGATTGTTTTTTTTTCATAAAAGAAAGCCTTACTCACCTGGCATCCTCCACAACTTCCATAATACTCATCCAGCCAGTCTGCCTTTGCTAACATGGGATAATGCTCACTCTTAAAAGGATGGGAGGTTGAGGCAGGCTGCTATACAATTTCAGGCTAGAAACATAAGTATCTTGACAGAGGCTCTCAAATGCTCTCCACAATTCTTTTGGTTTCTTCTTTTAGCACTTATATCCCAAATAAATCCTTAACAGTTCACTAGATTTAATATCAGTTACCAATACCAATATCATATCTGCTACCACTCTCTGCCTGATTTGTAAAAATCATTTTAATGCAGATTCATTTTTATGCCTATTTTATGCGATTTAAAGGTATGACATGAAAGAATGACTCCATAGGTTTATCTGTAACTCGAATAAAAATACTGTGTACCTTTTAATAAAAGTTACATATTTTTGTTTGGAATATAATGTTTTATTTATTCACATTATATTGTTCTGAGTGATATTTCTTGGTGAAAAATTACTACTAATTAGGGTTATTTATAAATATGTTTCTGTCTACTCCAGACGTGTTAAACTTTATTTCATTGAGGGCCGCATTAGGGTTGTTTTTGAGCTCGAGGGCCATGGCCGGGGTGGGCGTGGCCAGCTCAACATCACTCGACAACCTGCTCCAGCCCTCTGCCAGAGAAAATGGAGCTCAGGAGGGCCACATGCAGCCCCCACAAACTCCTTTTTTGGCTGCAACAGCCTCCTGCAGCCTTCTGGAAGCAAAAATGGAGGTCGGGAGGGCTGTGCGCTCCATTTTTGCTGGCAGAGGCACTGCAGGCTAATCCAACGGCCAGATCTAAGCACCCTGTGGGCCAGATCTGGCCCGCAGGCCTTGAGTTCTATTCTCTTGGCAAAAAAAGTATATTTGCAAAACCTTTACTTTGTAAATAAAAATCTAAGATTTTCAGAGAACCTGCAGCCTTATCTAATCTCAGGACAGATAGTGATGCAGAGGATTCTGGGATTGGTCATTTTACAGAACTCTTACACCAACTCTCTTACCTGCAACTAGAGATGGAGTTTGTGCCAAGGATGAAAATGAGACAGGATGTCCCGAAAGCTGCTGCAATTTTGTCACCTGCACAACAGGAAGAAGAAAAAAACCCCAGAGAACCCTTAAATATAAATATTGTCAATTCTATATAAGTGGTTCTTGACAGTTATCTTGGAGGGTCTCTTAAAGCTCAAGATTTTTTCATGGCTGGAAAAACTGTGTTTCAATTTAGCAGTATGTGAAAAGGAACCCATGAAACTATCAACCACTGTGTTTGTATTACTGTTTCAAGTAAGTCCAGGGTAGTAATCTTTTATGAAGATATCTTTTAAGAAGCAATTGTGAGCTATCGATCTCATAACAGCAGAGGCTCTTTTTCACTATGGTTCAGGCTAATTTTAAATGAGATTCTGGCTATAGCTGTGGGGTTGTCTCTGTCCACTTAAACACAGTTACCACTAAGGATACAAAGACAGGTTTTCCTGAAGGTCAAGATTCATTGACTACTTAAAACCAAGTCACTCTAAATGCTTTTGTCTGTTTTTTTGTAAGTTCTGCCACAGCCTTTAATAGCTGACCTCAATACAGTGCCTCTAAGATCTGTCTGTGGTCTCCAGGCACTAAGGAGAGGCCAATATACTTGAAGCACCTGGTTGGAAAGGTGCTTCTATAATCTTTTTCCAAAAATAAAATAAAAAATAAAAAAATCATAGGATGGGTCAAGTCTAGAGACCAAAAACAAGATATGAGGACCTACATAGGGGAAGACCTGGAGTTTCAATATAGACTGTCAGCTGGACTCACCTCAGCTTGAGATATTCCACTGTATTGTCCTTGCATGGAAAATCCCTACAAAAAGGAGAAAATATATTAGAGCCTCCTTCAAAAGTCCATTTATTAAAGGAAGGACTTAAGAATAAAGAAAGAAAGAAAATCACAGAGAAAAGCAAGGAAGTGGGAGGAGTGGCAGGTGCAGTTGCAAGCAGGGGAAAAAAAAGCCACAACAGCAACAAAACAAAAGTAGATATCCTGGAAATTTAGAGAACTGGACAACATTTCCCATTTGACTTTAAAAAGGTACTTCAGTGTTCATGCAAGCATTGCACCTGCCTACCATTCTTTAAAGCAGAGCTGCCTTCTGATGCTACTCTAGCTAGAGACTCAGTCTCTCTTGCTGCTAGAGAAAGACTCAGTTACTTTAAATGGTTGCCGGCAGGGACTGCATTTAAACCATTATGCACACTGAAGTGCCCTTTTGGAGCAGAATCCAAAGCAATGCATAGCTCTAGATCAGGGGCATCAAACTCGCGGCCCGCATGCGTCACTCAGTGGCCACGCCCACCCCCGTTTTAGTGAAGAGGGGGAAAAAAAGTCACGATACGTCATGTGACAACAATGTGATGACACAAGTTTGACTCCCTTGCCCTAGAAACTAATACGTTCAATGATTTCTCAATTATAAAAACATTATAAAAACATTATAAAAACAAAGGAGCTAAAGAAATTCTACCACAAGTTTTATAACCATGCAGGGACAATTGTGTAGTTTTGTCCCTTGAACACGTAAGATTCAATAGACCAGTACAAAAGAATACATTTTGTAAAGAGTAGCCAAAACAAATGTTCTTTTCCAAGCTTGATTAAATGGCCTGAGCAATGCAACAAGTCTTTTCATTTACAAAAAAATGGCCATTTCCATATCTAATGTGTTAAGTTTTTAGTTTGTTCTAAAAACTAAATTCTCCTCTTATGATCTATTTTATCTGAGTTAAAATTAAATGAGATGCTCTGAGTTTAAAATTCAGAAGAGCTAAGTATTACTACATATTATTTTAAAATGGCCACCCACACCATTACACCTTTACAATTAATGCTGATTGTTACCAAAAAAAGTTGAATATATATCAATGCTTTGTCACCGGGTGAGACTAAGTCGCCCTCATTCATTTTACTAAAAGCATTTATATGCAGTAGTAATTTGATTTATTCAGTCATTCAGCATTTTTGTGCATCAACTCATACATCTTTGGCCATCTAGTAAATATGTTTTAATTTTTAAACAGTAGTTAATGTTTCTCAGTTGTACTACAGTATAAAAACATATTAAAGTTAATACTGTGTGCATTATGATCATCAGTGTAGAACAATGTAAGAAAAACAAAACAGTGATGGATTTTGTTCAAAATTATAGTAAAATCTCATTGAAATCCCTACAAACTGACTTACTAGAATACACTAATTTCTGTTTTTTCTCCCTAGGCACTTATAGGTTCAGATGACAATCCTGTCTGGGAGAAATTGAAATTATGACACTTCCGAATCTGGATTATATTGTCAATTGTTATTACGTAGCTTTGGCGATGAACATTTTTCTTCCTCTTTTATGGCTCATTCTGCTTTTATTTGGCTCCTATTAGCAGTTAGACTATACTAAGATTTCAATCAGGTGGTAGTCAGCAGTTTCTGACCAGTTCTGGAGAACCGGTAGTGGAAATTTTGAGTAGTTTGGAGAACCGGCAAATGCCACCTCTGACCGGAGATTATACAGTATCCTTTCCCTGCCACGCCCACCAAGCTACACCCACAGAACTGGTAGTAAAAAATTTTGAATCCCACCACTGATTTCAATGCTAGAATAAGAAAGAAATGGGTACATGCTATGGGTACCATCAGTTAGGGATATCTTCCCTGCCATGGTCTAACCCTAACCTTTATGAAACATTCTTTCTCCCAAATATTAGGCTAGCTCCATCCATGATGTTCCGGAACTCCCTCAAGATCTAGTTATCAATCCTGGGGCTCCCAGGGAACCAGAGAACGCTTCTATGGCTTCTTCTTTGCTGAGGTGCGCATCTTTATCCTTTCTCTGCTTAGGGATTGTATACTTGTGTTTTTTAAAAATAATATTTATCTTTTAATGTAGATTGTTACATCTTTATATCTGTTGCATTTGTATTTGTTGCTTTATTTGATTGCTGTATGCCACCCAAAGTTGCTTTTTGTGAGATTGGTGATCATGCAAAATAAACGAACAGTTAAAACCTGGGGTTGACATAGACAGGGAAGTTGATAAACTGATTGTATTCTTTCTTTCTTTCTTTCTTTCTTTCTTTCTTTCTTTCTTTCTTTCTTTCTTTCTTTCTTCCTTCCTTCCTTCCTTCCTTCCTTCCTTCCTTCCTTCCTTTCCTTCCTTCCTTCCTTCCTTCCTTCCTTCCTTCCTTCCTTCCTTCCTTCCTCCCCCCCCCTCTCAAATTCTGAAACCACCCCTTAAACCTCACTCTTCTACTCAGAATCTCTTCCTAAGAATGGCTTGTCCTGACTTATAAAGACGTAAGAAATGCTTGCTCAATGCATGGTCAGCTCTCTTGCTTCAGGGACTGATGGGGACCACTGGGGTTCCTTTCAGGGTTATCAGGATGCTCCAATTAAAGAAAATCCTTTTGTGGTCTCCCAGGCAAACAATATGTTATTTATTTAATTTATATGCTGCTCGTTTCCCTCTATCATCAAACATAAGTGAGATCATAGGTATTTTACTCAACTCTGGACTCTTTTTGATTAGATTCTTCTAATGATGCAGGAATACATGGGAAGTTGGCATGCTGCAAACAAAGCGCCATGTAGGAGAAGGAACAACAGAACTTAAGGGCGGAGTTAAAAGAGGGATCAGCCTAGAATCCCTATGTAGCCTCAAATGAGGTTGCAAACCTCCTTCAAAATGTCTTTGAGTGCCATTGATTCTTACCTAACTCTAACCAGGTGCTGATCATTAGTTGAGATTTCTGTACATAGGTCATAGCAATAAATCAGCTTAACTGAACCTTCACATGTGAACCTTGTTTTTCAAGCCTGACAAACCAGTTTCCTAACATCTTCTTCATTTACAAGAAACTATTTCGGCCCCAGAAGATTAAAAATGTATCCAGTGGTTTCTTTGGAAGCATTCCCACCAATGCCAAACAAGCAAACAAACATACAATTTAAAGTGGTAGAGAGCATTCTCGGAGTTAACCCTAGGAGAAAATAGCAACCTTGCCAGTTTGCCTGCCAGGAAAGGTTTTATAGTTGACCACTTCCACTACTGCACACATATTGTAAACAGTCAAGCTCCCCCTCCCAATAGTGTATCACAACTGCTCTTAATAAATGGCAATCCAAATCCCAGTTATGCTGGGAGTATTATCTATATCAAGCAGAAGCTGGTTTGGGTACCTCATTCCCCCTTCCAGCATTTCCCCCCCAGATTCCCACCACATTCCTGCTGGCCTGCTCAACCTCTTCTTCGTACTTCTCACCGTCCTGCCTTTCATTCCCAGTGTCTTTTTGCTGCCCCATCCAACTCCCATCTTTCAAACCTCTTCCCATTAATGCTATCATAACAGAGGAACCCAAAGCCTCTTTCTGTCTTGGCAAAACAATCTACTGATAGTTTATTTAAAAGTCTCTTACCTGATTGGCTGACAGAAGAACCGGTCCCAAGGACAAGCTGGGATGGTAAGGAATCGTGGCACCTTTGGGGGGTGACTGAAGGAAATCAGAAGGAAATATCACTGCACAATTATATATTTCTGTACCCCAAGCTGCTTTCTAATGCCAACAGGCACTGCCTTCTGTCATACAACAGAGGCATTCTGGCATTACATCAAGAGGGGATATTTTTAGCTAACTCCCATTTGGTAATGCTGAGTAATCTCAGACATGGGCAGGATATGAAAAGTAAATGATCGTCTTTGATCATGTTTAGTCTCTTGCCCCTAGTAGACAATGAAAGGAAGAGAGTACAAGAGAGTAAGAAACGTTGCTACTTATTCTACATCCTTTGGGAAGGAACTCTATCTTTGACATAGCTGTCTAGCAAATTGCAGATTTTGATGAATCAAAACTATTCCAAGATTTCTGCTATGGAAATCATCTTCTCCTGTGCAATCAATGTGCAAGAAGTCTTCTAGGCAAACACCTCAGAAAGGAAGCACCAGATTGGTGTTCAGAAGGTGCTGAGAAAGATTCCTGCATGAAATCCTAAAGCACAGTATCTAGAAGAGGGTACTTGATACTTAACTCATTTAAATGTCTGACTCAACAGTTATGTAAATGCCTTTTTTTGCTTGCTTGCTTTCCTAAGAAATAGGTCTGACAGCTGCAAATAGGAATTAACAGTAATGTGCTAGAGGTATACTTAAACCTTTCTTCATAGACCAACTGACCAATCAAATCGCTACTCCAATAGAAAAGAAAGGTTCAGGAATGATAATCTTTTCTCCTTAGAGTAGAAAAACAGCTAGATAGCAGATTATTAACAGTAAAAATGTTTGCAAATAAAAAAGTGCATGTGCATAAGTGGGTGTGCTCTCCTTCCTTCTCTCTCTCTCTCTCTCTCTCTCTCTCTCTCTCACCCAACATTTATATACTGTATTTCCCTGAAAATAAGACCTAACTGGAACATAAGCCCCTGTGTGTCTTTTGGAGCAAAAATTAATATAAGACCTGGTTTTATATTCGGAGAAATGCAGTAGCTGTTCATCTTACAATCAACTCTGGGCAGCTCATAATACACATGCACTGCTGTCGCTGCTCTTCATTTTAAATTATATCTGCAATGGGGCTGAGTTATCTTGATATCCCTACAGTGGCCAAATGGGGGAAAAAAATCACAATGGCACTCCAAGAGGATACAAGTTTTGAAGTATCCAAGGAGTGCCTCTGAACCCAAAGCCCCAAAGCCCCACTTCTCCACAAAGGAGCAGAGTGTTATTCTCGCCCAACACATGAGAGTAAACAAAAGCTGTACCTCCAGTATAACTGCACAGATCTGTCGCACACACTGGATGATGGCATCTGGTACCCCAGAGACTGTTACAGCCCTTTCAGTGGAATTGGGCAGAAGGTCTCCAGCCACCTGGACCTGAGCACCTGTTGTCTGGAAAGAACAAATACTCTGTTTTTCTCAGCAGCCTCTACTTATGTGGAGCTGGGTCAGGAACACTTTCTAATCCTGCGAGATTATTACGGCATTGTTGAAGGAGCTAATTTATTCAGAGATATAAATGCTTCTTGTGATACCTCTTCCCCGACATAGCTATGGCTTCTCGTACAAACAAAATATTTCATTTGACTTTCACAAAGAAATGCAAATGAAAAAAAATTGTAAATTTTGTTTCAGTTTTTATTTAACAAGAAAGAAGTGTGCAAGCCGGCTTCTGAGATTTAAGCCATTCGCACTGGGAGCATAAGATCAATAGCAATGAAACTAGAAAGGAAAAAAGGCACAAAAAAATAAAAAAAAATTAAAAAGGAACAATAATCCTCAAGTGAATAAAATACAATGATTGAAGGCTCTACCTCTCGAATTTCCTTTATTTTGGCTCCGCCTTTGCCAATGAGTGAGCCACACTGGCTAGCTGGGATGACCAGCCTCAGTGTTACGGGTGGTTTGGAAATGGTACCTTCATTGGTTGCTCCATTTCCCAAGTCCTGCAATAAAAGAATTTGTATTCAGTTCAAGTGCAGAGGGATCCTTTCAAAGTCACATTTGGTTATTATTAGTATGCAGCATTTTGTGTTAGAACCCCCATTATAGGTAAAAAAAAAATAATCCTAAGAATTTAGATCTTCTCTCCTAATTTTTTAAGATCCACTATTAGATGATATTCAGTTTTTTTGTACCTGATGTCATCCAAATAATATTCTGTCTGGTATAATTTGGTGAGATGTAAATACAGTGACATCACCTCCATTGGCTTTAATAGTCGTTTTGAATTCCTAGGGATACTTAAATTATATACACCAAGAGAAGTGCATATATATCATGACAAATGGTTGTTTAACCTTACTAATTTAACGAGATACAGTACGTGCCAGAAATTTATCAAGAACTTTCCCGTTTCAAAGCACCACTAGAAAATCAATTTTCTCAAAAATAAATTGCATGACTCTCTTCCTTCTTTTTGGCAGGATCGGTATGAAATCTCACCATTTGATCATAGACACAACAACCATTGTAGGCTCCTAAATAACTAGACATGGTTTATATGGCCAATGCCAGCCTTCACTGGAAAGCTTCTATCTTTAATGGAAAACTGATAGATTTTTTTTAGTGCCACAATTATACTTAATGGGAGCAAGTAAGACCTGCTCTGGGAGCAACATGCAGCAGACGGAGACTGGAGCTACTTCACCTCCTCCAGCTTGAAGGCAATCATGGAAACAGCTCTGAAAACAGCATCTGTGGATCCTGTAATGGTGGTGATCCGCTCGGGGCAGGATCCTTCCGAGATGGTAATCCGGGCAGTACTCTAAAGACACAGCAAACCAGGAATAATCATGGAAAATACGTTTTAGGTTTTCTAACTGTTTATACAACACTTCTACCAAGTGTACAAAATGTTTCATAAACACCCCAATAGTCTGTCAAGTAGCTGGACGCTATCTGCATACTGCAGATATGGCTGAGAAACAGAAGAGATAGGCTCTGTCTGTTGGGGGAGTCTGGTCTGAATTTAAATTAGTAGCAAGGACTTCATGGCCCACGTCTCTTTTTCTCATCCCTGCATTTGTCTGCTAGGTATCTGCTAAAAACACAGTTTGGTGTAGTGGTGAAGGCATCAGGTTAGAAACTATGAGACTGAGAATTCTCATCCCACTTTGGGCACAAAGTGATCTTGGGCCACTCGTTTTCTCTCAGCCCTAAGAAGGAGACAAGGGCAAACCGCTTCTGAAAAATCTTGCTGAGAAAACTGCAGGGACTTGTCCAGGAAATCCCTAGAAATTGGAGACATCTGAATAAATCTGCTACTTGGGAATCAAATCCTCTCATTTCAAGAGAGGATAAACTCAAAAGTCAATGGTCTTCATACCTATAGTAGTATCCTATCAGAGCAGTGGTGGCGCAGTAGTTAGAGCTGATAGAGCCGTGGTGGTGTAGTGATTAAAATGCAGTAGTGCAGGCTACTTCTGCTGCCTGCCGGCTGCCTGCAATTTGGCAGTTCGTGTCTCGCCAGGCTCAAGGTTGACTCAGCCTTCCATCCTTCTGAGGAGGGGTAAAATGAAGGAAGGCCCAGATTGTTGAGGGCAAGAGGCTGATTCTGTAAACCACTTAGAGAGGGCTGTAAAGCACTGTGAAACGGTATATAAGTCTAAGCAGGGGTGGGCTTCAAAAATTTTAGCAACTAATTCTCTGCCCAGTTGCTTGGGGGACATGGCCATGGTGAGCGTGGCCTAGTTGGCTTCCTGCACCAGGGTGAGGGGGGTGTTTTCGCCCTCCCCGGGCTCTGGAGGCTTTACTCAAGCCTCCAGGAGGGCAAAAACGGCCTCCCTGGCCTCCAGAGTCTATCATCTGAACCTCCATAACTGCCTGGTTTGGTTCTGCAACCCAACAGGACAGACACAGACTTCAGAGGATAATTAGGACCGCAGAAAACACAATTACTACCCACCTGCCTTCAATCGAGGACCTGTATACTGCAGGAGTCAAAAAGAGGGCTGTGAAAATATTTACAGACCCCTCACATCCCGGACATAAACTGTTTCAACTCCTTCCCTCAAAATGATTCTATAGAGCACTGCACACAAGAACAGCTAGACACAAGAACAGTTTTTTCCCCAAAGCCATCACTCTGCTAAACAAATAATTCCCTCAACACTGTTCAACTATTTACAAAGTGTACACTACTATTACTGGTAATCTTCTCATCAGTCCTTATCACCCATCCCCTCCCACTTGTGACTGTAGGACTATAACTTTGTCGCTTGTATCCTTACGATTTATATTGACTGTTTCCTAGTATGATTTGATTGTTGATTGTACCCTATGACTATCATTAAGTGTTGTATGTTATGATTCTTGATTCTTAACGAATGTACCTTTTCTTTATATATACTGAGAGTATTTACACCAAGACAAATTTCTTGTGTGTCCAATCACACTTGGCCAATAAAGTATCCTATCCTATCCTATCCTATCCTATCCTATCCTATTCAGAGGCCCTCTATAGGCCCAAAATGGGCCCGTTCTCGGCCTTCCGGAGGCCCATTTTTCAGCCTCCCTGAGCCTCTGTGCAGGCCCTGCACTTACCTGGCATCCAAAACGGGCCACGTGGAGACTCCTGAGAGGGGAGGGTGGGATTTTACAGTATCTTTCCCCTGCCACGCCCACCAAGCCACACCCACAGAACCCGTAGTAAAAAATTTGAATCCCACCACTGGTTCATGCAATATAGCATTAAAGCATCTCTGATGATAGAAATGCTGATCTTATCTACAAGTGTTTATGTTTATTCAATGACAATGAGGTGCTAAAGCAGGGGTCTCCAAACTTGGCAACTTTAAAACTTGTGGAGATCTCTGGGCTAGAGGGAAGTATATTCACTATTTCAGAATCTACTTTAGAATACAGTAATTATGAACTACATTCAGAAAAATAGAGACTACAATATTTGGGTAGATTGATCCTGCTTTCTGTCTCTCCATATTTTCTAGCACATTCCTCTTCTGCCTTCTTCCTTTTTCCCAACGAATTTTCACTTTTGTTAGGAATTCATACAGCTAGAACCATAGAATAGATAGCTGTTTCCCATCCTCAGCAACTTTTAAGATATGTGGACTTCAACTCCCAGATTGGTTGGTTGGGGAATACTGGGAATTGAAGTCCATACTTTTTAAAGTTGCTGAATTTGAGAAACACTGGAATAGCAGATCACCTGCATTTGGGCTATTACCCCCTCTCCAATAATACTTACCTGTTCTCGTATCTTCTTCACAGTCTCTCCTTTCTGTAGGATTAAAGACAATAAAGGCAATTACTCTTAGAATGTAGAGCAAAGGAATTTCGAAAGCACAGAGTGACCTGCATTGATCTTACCTTGCCTATGATACTGCCAACTTCCTGCAGAGACAAGAGAAATGGAGTTATAAAAGATCTCTAAATCTGTAAGATGCAATGCCTGAACAAATACTTTTGGCTGGAAAATGAGGATGCAATTGCACATCTTCTACACACACCCCCAAAGGTCATTCATGATTAAACAAATTAAATGAAAGGGATATTCTCTCTTTCATGATCATTCTTTTTCTTCCCCTTCACTATTAGATCTTTTAATAATGTTGAATTTCTATTAATCTTGTCACCTTGGCAATTTAACCCACTATTTTGCTTTAACTGATTAATTCACAAGTATTGTACTGAACGGTACTGTAGTTTTGTTACTGACTATGCATAAACTAAGAGCAAAGCCTAATAGGGCAGTCCTAAAGTACTTACCTTTCCATGCATAAGCATCCGGAGAGTGAGAGTAATGCTGAGTTCTGTTTCATCCAATCCGTTATCTGACCCACTCATCCTATCTGGTGATGCCACGGTGTAGGAATGCATGGATTTGCTTCTAAGGGAAATCAGCACCCTGGGCCTAGAAGGTGTTGAAGTTGGCAAATCTGCAGATGCACAGAGAAAAATAAAAATAAAAAGCCTTATATGATACCTTGCTTGTAAATCAGTTCCTTAAGTTGGAGGGGTAAGGGTGGTTAGTATTTTATTGATTTATAAATTTGGCCGCCTATCTTACACAGGATAATTCTCGGCAGCTTACAGTTACATCTTAATTAAAGCATAGCTTACAATCAAACCTTACAATCAAAGACACATGCAAAGGGCAGGAGCAGAGTGGAAGAAGAGGTGGGATCTCTTATTACTCAATTAATCACCTCCATTGTGCTGTTCCCCCACTGGGGCCCTAAGCTGACTGGCACAGCCACGTCTTTAGGCTCTTAAAAAAGATAGGAGGGTTGGGGTCAACCTCCAGGGGGAAGGAGCAATAGCAGAGAAGGCCCTCTTCCTTGACCCTGCCAGCTGGAGTACTTGGGCTGACGGGACACGCAACATGCCTCCTCTACAGGCACGAGTGGTATGGGATGGACTTTCAAGTAACCAAGCCATGAAGTATGGCCTTTAAGGTGATCACCAATACCTTGAATTGTACCCAGAAGCAAACTGGTAACCAGTGCAGCTCACAGAGCAGTATTGTTAAAGGAGCCATTCTTGGGGGGCTCAAAACTCCCCATGCTACCACTCTGCATCAGCTGTAGCTTCCAAATGCTCTTCAGGAGAGTTCCATGTAGAGTGCATTACAATAGTGCCGTCATGAGATGACTAGGGACTGAATGACTGAGCGCAGGGAATCCTGGTCCAGGAAAGACCTCAACTGGAACACAGCACAAAATTGTGCAGAGGCTCTCCTAGCCACAATTGCCACCTGTTCCTTGAAAGGAAACCACGAGACCAGGAGAACCTCCAAGTTGCAGACTGGGTCTTTCTGAGGAATGCCACCCCACCCAGAGTAAAAAAATGACAAAGTCGCGGATCCTCGCAAACCCAAAGCCATTCAGTCTTACCAGGGTTCAGTCAAATGTTAGTAAGAAGGGGTTGGCTTTTATGCAACATCTCTTGATATTCCTGTCTCAGAGCATCTGAAGAATAATGATAATGGTGATGAAAGGAAACATCACATAAGCAAACATGGCTTATTTAGCCATTAGGAAGGAGAAAACTAATGGAAACACATATCTATATCTGATCTATGAAATATTACAATCCGTGTACATTAAAAAAAAATACAGAATGGTAAAGACAACAGCAGTCTGGCAGGCCATATTTATTCAAGTACATACATATAGAATTATATTCATCCACCAACACATATTTACCAACCCACCAGGTATATAGGTAGCAGTCACAATTATAGTTGTTTGGTTTTGACCTAATATGGTATGTGAATACAGATATAATTTGTAAAGCATGCTTTATGACTTGGCATTATGGATGAACCAGGTCAGTTCAGTTTGTTCTACAAACTATGTCTTAAATAGCTATTTATACAAGTACGACAAGTTTTTTCTCCAAATGTATCTTGAAGAGGAAGAGTCTATAGAATTATCTGTATCTGCAGATGCATCAGGGAAGGTTGATTATGAGGACAGTCTCATTCTTACATTCAGCTCAACTATTCCTTCCCATCCTCCTTACTCCAGAAATAATATTGATCTATCTATGCCTCCCTGATGAGAAAGGAATGATAATTTTCCATAGCTGAAAGCAAGCATTATGAAGTTAAACTGTGGACAATAGATCCAAAGATACATTTCTTCCTTGCTTGAGATCCTTCTTTTCCCAGCGAGCATCCACGTATAAAAACCAAAGCAGAAGAAACTGATGGTTCTGATTAGCAATGAGACCCCCCCCATCCCCCGGTAAAAAAAAAGATTTCCAATTTATGATTGCAAGTGCTTCCTACATGCACATATCTCTACTTAGATAAGATGGCATCTGGCCCCAGATATGTATCATGACAAAAATCAAGTGACCCGTTTATAGATATATCAGCTTTATGCTGAGGTCTTCCAGATGTATTGTAGTTCAACTTCCAAAATCCCTCTGCTGACTATGCTATCTGGGGAATTATATGAGGCGCCAGGTTGGAGGAAGATTAATATAAATGAATAGATGATAGACACACAGAAAGGAACAACTATACGCATTCAGTTTCAGCTTTGCCAAAAATGATTGTTATGAGAAATGGCCTGAAAAAAAGTGTTAATATATTGCAAAGATTCCTGGTGGTTGTTTCAGCCCATCTTTATCCTAATACTTTTATGTATCCCACTGGAGTTATGTATAGAGCATAGCTAATTCTACCACCGTATTACAGACGGATCTCACAACAACGGTATTACAAAGCAAAGCCCTTAGATGCCAGGCAATGCTGGATATTTATTCTTTTCTCAAAATACTTATCTTGTTTTGTCTAAGATGGCAGAATCTCCACAAATATTTTTGTCTCATTTTAAGAATAGGTGTATTTCTCTCTCTCCCCGCTCCTCTGTGTAGATGTATCAAAATATATATCAAAAACTTCCCTTGAATTCAATTTACAGGATAGACTGAATACAAGTAAATGCTGGGGAGAGGCTGTTAAGAGAGAGAAAAACATTTGCAGAGATTGATGCAGGTTTTGGCATGGAATCAAGAAATGGTACTTTTTTTTTCTTCACTATTTCTTTACAGCTTAATGGAAGGCATTGGAAGAGCTGCTAAGTGGTCGTCTTTCATATATTTGATTGCTTGCTAATGCTTAAGTGATTTTTCTTCCAGTGGCCCCAGCCAAGCACGCCTACCAGCAAGGGTGGGGCATCGGCCAATGTTCTGCTGTAGATGAGAAAACCTTTTGTCAACTGCAATATGGCTACCAAGAGGGAGAAAGATCTGAACTGTTACAGAAAGGCCCTTTAAGAGGCTCAGTCCAGTAGTGCTTGCTGTTAGGAAAACTGATGCTACTTCAGAGATTGATGCCGTCTGTCTGTCTGGGTGCCTGTCTGCTTCCACATGATCAATATATAAATAGGGAAATATTAGCAATTTACTCAAAAGTTTTGGCAGTCATTTTGAATTTGGGATGTATGTGTGTAGTGTGTACAAAGTATGGTTTAAATGCTCCCCCCTTTTGGAAACATCTGATAATATCAGAGCAGAGAATGAGGAAAAAAAGAGAAAGAGAGAGACAAGAGAAAGAAACTGCAGAAGGACAAAAGATTTAGCATTTCTCCAGTCTGTGTGCTCAACAACAACAAAGCAACCAAGGACTTAAAAATAGGACTGAGTATATGATAAAGGGCTATTTTGAAACTCCTGGCCTCAGAGACAATCTGGTTTGACATTACAGGGTTCTCCATATGACAATATACAGACAAAAACCCTCTCCAAGAAATTGTTTCAGGACCATCAGAAAAAATCCTTTGGGGATTGATCCTGTGAATTAGATCTCCAGAAATTACAGCATGAATGTCATAATAAATAAACAGTAAATGTTAGTAGATTTAGCCACATTATTGGACTGTCTCTCAGGCAAATAACAAATACTGCGATAAGTGCTGAGGTAACTCCAGATGGCCTCGGATTAGAAGAAACAACCACGCTGACTCAGGTCAAGCCAGTAGAGCTGATAATGAGATGCCCTTGGGAAGCCAAGTGAAACCACCTGAGTCCCATAATGCCCTTCTCTTTTCTTATTGTATCAACTGCTACAGTGGGGCCATCACGTAAAAGTATTAAGGCTAGTAACAGTTGGTTCTTAACTTCTATGAATTTGCCTCTTAGTCCTTGCAGAAGTGGATGGATGGATGATATTACATTTAGAAGAGGGTTTCTTGAACTTCTTTGTATCTGAACCCTTTCCCACTTTTAAAAATTGTGGAGGACCCCCAAAGAGCTTTTGTTTGTGTGGATTATATTTATTGATATGTATTGTATTAAGAAAATAAATTTGACATATTCACTCCTGCAACTTTTTACCGTTGTTTGATGGAATTTCAATATGGTATTTTTCAATATAGACTGGCAATAATTTCACAGATCCCTGAGAGTATCTAGGGATTGTAGAATCAAACTTAAGAAACACTAATCTAAAAATAACAAAATCCATGAGGAAGCTTTGCTTTAATCTGCTCTGAATTTCCTGTTGTTCAGCTCAGTTGAATGACCTATATCAAGTTCAAGTGAGAGGAAGGGAAAAAATCCTTCCTATTTACTTTCTGAAGGGAGTTTTATATGTCTCTCTCATATCCCCTCCCCATCATCTCTATTCTAAAACCATTGATGGATCTTGATGCTTGCTCCTAATTTTGCAGCTGAGACCTCCAACTGTCCTGTGATTTAGAATAAGTAGAATAAATCTGCTTATTTTTTATTTCTGGGTTCAAAAAACCCAGAAATATACTCATATCCTATACTCATAAGATAGTATACAGAAAAACTCCAAGTCATAACGATGTGAAAGTTCCTTAAATTAAAACCACGTAACATCATCTTAAAGTGAGTTGTTACAATCAGTCAAGCAAAGTACTTAGGAGGACATTTCTCTGAGTACAATGTAGAAAGTAGACTGCAAAGTAAATTAATTGTTTGAATTCAAATGTACTGAGCTGTCATCTTGTTTTAAAGCAGAGCTTTTATTTTTAAAGACATCTCCCTTTTCTTAGAAAATTCTTCCTGCCAAGCTCAGAAAGACTAAGGTCTCATTATCTTTTTTTAAAAGCACTTGAAAAACCCTTTACATGTATTTATCTGCAAAGGGAATAGGTTACAATTAATGCTGTAGTACTATTATAGCCTTTGCATAGATCATAATATCTCTCTATTTTTACAGTTAATCTCTATGTTTAAAGTAATACACCATTACAGTCTTTTTGTAAATTCAAGGATACATTTATTAAATGTGTAATAATATCAGTTTTTTGCAGACCTTGTAAAGCTGGCTTTTCTTTTTTACATGTTTTGTCTTACAAGCTTCATTCTGTTCAGGAGCTTTAGAAATTGTAACAAATATTTATAGAAGAAAATGAAAAAAGGGGTCAATTATCTACCCATTTAGCTGGCCACCTGC